GCATATGTATACTGAGCATATTCAGTAGACACTGCACTGGGGGTGTATAAAATGGGCTGTATTCAATTTGGATTCGGCTCAAATCAGGGGCAGTGATTCAATTAGTTGATTTGGATCACTGTCCTGATTCAATTTGGCTGAATCCGCATATGAATATTCGATGCTGATTCAGAGAATCAGCAGTTCAGCCATAAACACAGCTTTAAATGTTTTTTTCTACATATCTCAAGGTACCAGTCACAGCTCGTGAACACTGCAATGGTGGGGCAGAAGGAGCATTGGGGGGGGCGGGCCGTGTGCTTGACAGCAAACTCAGAAGTGGACCGGAAGTACTTCTGGGTCCGCTGGGGAAAGCACAAGGGGCCCCCCTGCACCCCCTCTGGCTCAGTGATTGGCCGTGGGGAGACCCTAGGTACCCCCCAGACCCAGGAGGCACCAGTCGCCAAGCTGGGGAAGAGTACAGGGGAGCTTCCAGCAGAACCAGAAATGGACTGGAAGTTCTTCTGGTCCACTTATGAGTCTGCTGCTGAATGTGCTGGGGAGCCCCCCGCGCTCCTGTGGGACACTCCATTTGCCCCAGCATCACAGCATTCACATACCTTGAGGTATGTAGAAAACACATTTAAAACTGTGTCTGTGTCCGAATCGCCGAATCTCAGAGACATTAAAGGATCTCCTGATTCGATTCAGATTTGGAGATTTGGCCACCAAATCGGACAGAATCTCCACCAAAGCTTCGTACAGCCCTATTGTGCATTGGCCAAGCAGTTATAGGGCTACATATACTGGCTTAAGCACTGGAAAAACAGGCGTAGGAAGGCCCTCCCGTGGTATCCACAATATTGGCTATTTTGCAGTGTACAAATGTAGATTTTCTGGGGTAGACAAAGTTCTTTGGGTAACTCTGATCTCTCTTATCATTATTAAATCAACTCCAATTCTTCTTTGCAAGCTTTCAGTTTTTGACAAAAAAATTGAAAACCTTTTTCATAAAAACTTGTATCTGTTTTCACATGCTGCACTTCCCAAAATATTTCCTCAAGTGAGATATCAAACTCCAAATGCAAGAAAACCAAGTATTTTCTATTACTTTGCAAGAAAGACTTTATGAAGTCTGAGGTAGTAGATGAGGGGTGTATGTTTCCTGTTGTTCATTTAGATTATTGTGTCTTCCAAAGCTGGTTGGCTGATCTATGGTACTTTACTAAAACAGCACACTTAACTTTCTTCATCTGCTTGGCACCCTATGTAGTCCTACTGATTCTGAAAAAAAAAACACAAAAATTGTCTTAGTCTGTTTGAAGCATGTCAGTGGGTACATTCAGTACCTACAGATGTTTTTCAAGGGTATAGGGTCTAAGCCTGCTCCCACTGATCAGAACACTGGTGACAAAAAAGACGTTGGAATATCATCATTATGATCATGCACACATTTTACTTTCAGTCTAAGATGATAAAATCCAAGAGTGAGTGGCCCAGTAATAAGTAGATATGGCAATGACAGGGCACTTTCTAACTGAGTGACTGGAAATCAGTCTAAAACTTCAAAATAGCTATAGGTTACTTAAGATGTACAAGATGTACTTAAGATTGTACATTTGTACAATCTATGATAAATAAAGGGAACCCTTTTAAGAATTCCTTCCTTTGAACAACTGTTAACAGCATTTTTGATTTCATGAATCATAAATACTGTGTTTTCCATTCTGATAACTTTATTAATATGGGCTTTCCTAATTTTGTGTATGTGCCCTGATTAGGTTTGAAAGGAGGTGCTGGAGGACCTGATGGACAAGGTGGCACCTTTCGGTACTCCTTCCATGGTGACCCACATGCTACGTTTGCAGCGTTTTTTGGTGGTACAAATCCTTTTGAGATTTTCTTTGGTAGAAGAATGCCTGGTGGAAGAGACACTGAAGACATGGAAGTGGATGGTGATCCATTTGGATCCTTCACCAGTTTTAGCATGAATGGATTTCCAAGAGAAAGGAATACAGTTGGTAGCCAACTCCGTCGCAAACAAGATCCTCCTGTTATCCATGAACTTAAAGTATCACTGGAAGAGATATATCATGGGTGCACCAAAAGAATGAGGATTTCCCGAAAAAGGCTTAACCCAGATGGCAGAAGTGTCCGAACAGAGGACAAAATTCTCACTATAGAGATCAAGAGAGGGTGGAAAGAAGGTACTAAAATCACTTTCCCAAAAGAAGGTGATGAAACACCCAGCACAATCCCAGCTGACATTGTTTTTGTCATTAAAGATAAACCTCACTCGCACTTCAAGAGGGATGGGTCAAATATTATCTACCCTGTTAAGATCAGCTTACGAGAGGTAAGTTTTCGTTTGAAATGTAAAAACAAATTGCCTTGGCATAGTACTGTGGCTATGCTGTTGAGGACAAAGTATTATAGGCTAGTGGTGCAATTCTATAACTAATACAGTCAAAGTCAAATTAAAACTATAGGTCATTATGGCATGCCAGAATCACTAGCTACTTTGCTGGAAAGTAAGGAGGAGGGGGAAGTATAGCAGCACTTTTCTTTATTTCCTAACTTCCTTTGGTACTTATTGCAAATTAGGATGAAGTAGCAACAAATGTTGCCAAAAGAAGTATTTGGATGTAACATGGTATCCCTGCTTCTCTAGCATGAAGAGAAGGAGGCATCTGTAATTCACTCTAAAACATTTTTCACAGCTTGCCATTGGAGTTAAATTTAGCAAAATTTGTTAAATGTCTTTCTTTTCATGTCATGCATTATTTCATTGTGCTTTTACAATGCACAAAGAGATTTCATGAGGATAAATCATTATGAACAGGTGCTGAAAAGGTATATATGACAACAAAACTGTTATACTTTAAATATTATGGTTTGTTTGTGTATTTTTATGCAATACCAAAAAGAAATAAATGTTTGCTATCAAAAGTAAAGGTAAGGAAAGCTCTTAAAGGTATTTTGTCAGGATATTTCTTTTCTTAATAGATACTGGTCTGTATTAAAATAATTATAGTGTAAAGTAAGAACATATGCGTTTATTCTGAATATTATTACAGTTTGCTCATATTCTGGGTTCCCAGCACAAGGCCTCATTTTGAGAAATGAACACCTAATATAAGGAAAAGCCAGTTTTTAATATGAGTATGAGAAATGTGGTTGCTTTATAAATAAGAATGTATACAACTTGGCCACTGAGTCCAAAATAATATTTTGTTAGCCAAATTACATACACAGAATCATGTGAGTCATAAAAAGCAAAGCCTTGGGCCAAAAGTTATGATGATTAATGGTAGGGACCAAGGGTAAAATGGAGTAATGTGGGATGTATATTGTTAATGTATAGTGTGGGGATGCAGTTAGGAAGGCCAACCGCACCTTGTCATGCATCCACAGATGCATCTCAGGCAGGTCCAAGGAGGTGATACTCCCCCTCTATGCGGCACTGGTCAGGCCGCAGCTGGAGTACTGCGTCCAGTTCTGAGTGCCGCACTTCAAGAGGGATGTGGACAACATGGAGAGGGTCCAAAGGAGGGCCACAGCAGGGGGCAGCAGGGCAGGCCCTACGAGGAGAGGCTACGGAACCTGAACCTGTTCAGTCTCCACAAGAGAAGGCTGAGGGGGGATTTAGTGGCCTGTTACAAACTAGTCAGAGGGGATCAGCAGGCATTCGGGAAGCCCCTGTTCCCCTGAGCACTACCAGGAGTGACTAGAAATAACAGTCACAAGCGGGCAGAGGGTAGATTTAGGCTAGATATCAGGAGGCGCTACTTCACTGTCAGGGCAGCTAGGATCAGGAACCAACTTCCAAGAGAAGTGGTGCTGGCTTCTATCCTAGGGGTCTTTAAGAGGAGGCTAGATGTACACCTTGCTGGGGTCGTTTGACCCCAGTACTCTTTCCTGCCATGGCAGGGGGTTGGACTCCATGATCTGCTCAGGTCCCTTCCAACCCTAGAAACTATGAAACAGCAGTGTTTCTTTAGTAGGCTTATTTTTTTTATTTTTTTGCCCAAAGAATTATGTCTTGATTTGTACCAGGAACGTGAATCCGCGGCTTTATTTTAGTCCTTGCATTGAAAAGGAGACGGTCAAGTTGTATAAGCCCTGGTAAACACAGTGTTAATATTGAGCACTGTTCCTATAATAAAAAAGGTTGAGCAAACAAGGGTGTTGCAGGAGTCTTAAAATAAATATGTACTCTATGTAACTTGAGCAAGACTCTGAATTTCAAACAAAAGCTGAGATGCTTGTCATCAAGTAGAGATTCATGAACAAAATAGAGTATACAGTATGTTCATTCTGCCTGTACCCCCTCCCTGTATTATCTAATATTGTTTAGGGTGTTGGGAATAAACAATATGGAAGTCATGGAAGCAGGAGCTACGCTAACAATATTTTCACAACATTGATAACTATCTTGATATTAAGGACACATCAGAAATGAAATTATCCATGCCTTTTAAAGGGAGAAATGTAGCTATTGCTTTTCATTTGTGTCACTTGTCCTTTCAGTGATGCTCAGTGCAGAATATTTTATGTATTCACAGTATCAAATTTGACTCCATCTTAATGTCACAATTCAGTTTTTTTTCAAAATATTACTATTTTTCTTTTTTAGGCTTTATGTGGCAGTTCAATTAATGTTCCAACAATAGAAGGCAGAACCATACCTATGACAATAAATGAAGTTGTAAAGCCTGGTATGAGAAGGCGAATTATAGGATATGGATTACCATTTCCCAAAAATCCTGATCAGCGTGGTGACTTAATTATAGAATTTGAAGTTCTTTTTCCAGATAACATATCTGCAGCATCAAAAGAAGTACTCAGGAGAAATCTCCCTGTTTCATAAAGGAAAGGACTGTGAACACTGTTTATTCAGGACACTGAAAATATAGAAGACTGGCAAGTTCATGCTGTAAAAGTGCAATCTGTAATAATTTGTGGCATATTCATTTTCTTTTGTGGGATGGGGGGAGGGAGCACTGTAATGCTGCATGAGAAGACCTGGATTAAATAAATACAGGTCATGTAAGTGACTCCTGCAGTAAAACTTCCAGGGAAAACCACTCACTGCATTTTATTTAGATCTTCCTAATCATAAAGTTTTGCCAGTATTTTGCTAATGTAAAATGTAACCATTTTGCAAAGTCAGTGCATATATTTCTCATTAAGTACTTGGGTGCTCAAGTACTTTACTTCATGTATTTCTAGAATAGCTACATGACTTGACCCAGTAATGCTGGAAATCAGAATTCACAGTAAAAACGCACATAATATGCACCAATGTTTAAAAAGAAGGTAAAACATAAGACACCATTAGATATGCAGATGCGCATGCTACCTTCCACTACATAAAACGGAGACTTTGAAAATCCGCTTGAAGCTCCCAAACATTCTTGCTGCCACAGCCAGATTTTTGGGAATGCCCAACAGGATTAAGGGAGGGCACATGGCTTGAGAAAGAAGTAGAGGTTCAGCCATTTTCTGGGATGTTCCTGTTGGGTCCAGGCAGATTTTTCAGTCCACTCAGGAGTTCTTACTATACAGCACTAGGGCTCTCTGCAGATGAATCTGAAACCAGGAATCAGTAGAGATGGCATGATAATTTGGCTATAAAGGAAGCCATGTGCTCACTGTAGAGAGAGATGTTGAAGAACATAAAGGCAATTGGCCAAAATAGCATGCCAAGATCATGCAGATCTTGACATCTAGGTTTCAAGGGATGAACCCTTCACCAGTCATAGAAAAAGAGACAATACAAGAGACTCAGCTCCAAGCTGAACATTTTTGAGGAAACTTGGTGCCTGATCCAAAGCTTATTTAAACCAATGGAAGTCTTTTCACAACTTCAGAGAGATTGGATCATCTATTGTGCATAGAAATACAAGTTTCTAGCCCCTTGGCTTAAAAAAATATGGAAGCGAAGCAGAAAGCCCTCAGTTATTAAGTCTAGTTTTATAACACTGCAATAGGGCTGGTTCCCTTGGTAGTAACATGGATTTAGTGATAATATTGCCTGTTTTCATTATTTTAAATCTAAAAATGTGCTATAGTGCTTTAACACTATTCTTTAGGGAAGAGTTCTTTTTCTTTATAAGAAGAAAATATTATTTTCTATCATTCTTTTACCTGTGGAAATTTACTAGTTGCCTGCTCTTCTGGGTAACTGTAAGATATAAAAGGGTGTTTAACATCTTCGTATGAAAGATTTTCTGTAGAAAGTGGACTATATGTGAGTTGGGATTAATTTAGTTGTAACACCTTGTAATGAGAACTAGTTCAGAAAGAATTCCAGTGACATACTTCTAGAAATCCCCTGTGCTTGAGTCAATTCTCCAAATGCAGATTCTCTTTCAAACAGTGTTTACGCCATAAATAGAATAAGTCATATTCATGTGCAGTCCTAAACGAACACAGAACCAGAACAGTAGCTGGAGTGGTACCACAAAGGGGAAAAAGTTGCTGCTTAATGCTTACGCATATTGTTAATGTTATATATTGTGTTTATGCGTTTAAAAGACTCCCTGTTTCAGTATGTTCTGTATTGCATTTCTAATATGTTTTTTAATTAAAAAAAATGTAAACTTTTTAACTTCCTTTTTTGTCTGTTTGTTTATTTGCTATTATAATGTGTGTAATATGGAGAGCAAATAAGGGTGAATACTTGGAAGTCTTGGTTACTTGTAAAAGTAATTGCAGTATTTTGAGCAACGGGGAATGTTTAATATTAATTTACTTAAGAGTAGCAAAGCTAAATTAAGATTATTATATAGTACAGTGTGGGCTACTACTGGCACAAACCAAATGATCTTATTTATCTTTTCTGAATATGGAGTTAGACTTTCAAGTAGTAAGAAAAACTAACAATCTTTTCTTGAAGTGAAGCAGGAATGCTTTCTCATGCAGTCAGACAAAATATTTGATGAAGCCAATAGTTTAGCAGGATCAAAAAGAAATTGGAAAGCCTTCCCACTACTAATGCAAATTTTAAACATGCATAAAGGCCACAGTTCAGAACATACTTAGGTGTCTAACTATGCAACTAAATATCCGGTACTCTTGGAAAACGTCACTGAAAACCTATTCACGTTGGCAGGCACAAAAGAACCTTTAAAAAGCTGGGCCTGAATGATTTGGGCCCTGTACGTGCTGCCTCTCTGGTACTAATACTAAAGAAGCCTGCCCTGTACTCTGTGCATGCCTAAGCCACAGCTGGACAGTGATTATGCCTTAGAACAGTTCAGAGAATGTGCTCCGCCATTTTAGGGTTTGCTGTTTTGGGAAACCCTGAGAGTGGTGCTGAGGCACATGTTCAGGGCTGCTGTTAACTGTCTGCATCACCAAATTGTTGGGCTTGGACAGCTGCAGTGTAGGAGCAAGTGGATGACCCTTACTACTTTGGCAGTTGTTCTGGGTTCATCAGGGAGGTAATAATTAAGCCTTTATCCCCTCTACAGTGATTAGAGATCTATGTCATTGAAAGTAAATGGGATACTTCTGAACACTCCACTCAGTGCCATAGTGCAGAGTTATAGTAGAAGATACTAAAATGCAACTTCCCCCTCCAATCCCAAAAGAATTCTGGCAAGTGCATCAAACCCTCCTGCATCAAAGCTGAAGCTAACTTCAAAGTATTGAAGGCTAGGGAAAAGTTGTACCATAACTGCTTTCTATTCTGTCCTGGTTATTTGTTCCATCACAGGGTGTCTGCCTTGCAAGATCTCTGCATTTCATATCAAACATTGATGTCCAATCTCTACTATTAACTAAACTGAAACTCCTCAAACACTCACCTACAGGCAGGTTGAATCCATTGGATTAATACAAGTGCCCTGGTAACTTTGCAGTGTGAAAGCAGACGGTCTTCCTGGTTTCAGTCCCAACCGTCCCCCGTGGGTGTTCCTTTAGTGACCTGTACTAGCATACTCTAGTCCTTCTGCCTACTTGTTCTATCTACCATTGTGCACCAGAAACTACCTGTTAATGTGCATAGATTGTTTTTGTAGGGCTAGAGTGTTGTAGCTGTGATGGTCCAGGAGATGTCAACTGGCAAGGCTTTTTGTGATCTTTTATTGGACTAACTGTTCAGTTTGGAGAGCTGTTGGACAGGCTTTTGGGTATTAGATACTTTTTCCAGTCAACTAATGCATCTGAGAAAGGGCACATGATACCCAAAAACTTGTCCAACAGCTTTCCCCAATTATAGTCTTGATCCAATAAAAGATATAAAAAAAGCCTTGCTTCATAGATTTTTTTTTTTTTTGGCATTCTTCACTTTGATGTGGCCTACTCCTCCTTAAACAGCTCAATAGGTCTGTTCCAAATGAAACTAAAAATGTGCACAAAACATGGTGCTAGCTGGCCACAAGAGGATACCACAGTTCTAGTTAATCTCTGGCATGAGTACTCCCGGATCACAGTTTTTAGCAAATGCCCTGTTAATAGTTATTTCCAGGCAATTGTTTTGAAGAGGCTGATAGGGTTATGTTTTAGGGAAGGGAAAAAGGCAAGAACTAGTGTGCAGTTCAGGTACTTGATGTAGTTTTCCTTCAAGATGAAGGATATGAATTATAGGTCTGAAAACTTGTGCCCTTGCTGCCTTTGCTCTGGGGAGCTTTACCAGGTGCTTGCTACTTCACTTCACTTCCCTGAGCACATCCGAAGATGCTTTCCTGGATGGTCTTATTTTTACACTGAAGGAAAGGAGCTGAGGTAGCAGCAGACAATACCTCTGGAGAGATCTACAAAGCTAAAAGCCCATCTTGTCCTGCTTACCTGGTACAGCCTGATAGGAGTCAGGTAAATTCTGTGAAAAGATGGTTGAGGATAAACCTGAAGAACTGCTTGGGAGAGAGAACAGCTCTGGTTCTGTAGCATGACAAGTGCTGTCTTTTGTGTTCATTTTTTCTCTTGTTTTCATTGTTTTAATATGAAGAGGTTTCTGGGTTGATTAATACCAGTTATTGTATTAGGAAGCAACTGTGGTCTGGGCGAAGTGGAAACTCTGACTTCTGGTTTCTGCTGCAATCATAAATGTGAACATACAGCTGGCATCAGCCACCACACTTTTGCCCCTGCTCCTATCACCCGCCCCCAAGCTGGCACCTGGGATAGTTTCCCACCCGCCTTAGTTATGCGACTGTGTTAGGGAGGTGTTTTAGCTCCAGGGGAGAATGAAGGCTAAGCTACAGCCCACTTATGGAATAGCCCTCCTGTTCCTCTTAGATGGAGCCCTCCCATGACTATGTGTAATCCAAGATGAATGCCAAATAGGAGGAAAAAAGCAACTTGAGCACAAAATTGTTAATCTTTCAAACTATCACCCATTATTTGTTAAAAAAAAAAGTGAAATCACATAAGGGTTGGAAGCCTAGAAAGCAGGACTTTGTCTTTGTTTTGTGACTGCCATACTAATGTAATGATACAGTTGCTAGAGAACTCCTTGTCCTTGTTTTGTTTGTTCTTGGGAAATTGGCTAGAGTGGCATAGAAAGAGGAGGATGCATGCTACTGCTAGCAAGCCTCTGCATCCTAGTTCAGCAGTCAGTTAATTTTCCTTCACGTATTGGTTACGCTTCCAAGCTTTTAATTCAGCAGGTTCTCTTGTAGGTTGCCTTGCCCAGGAATGTACTTGGACTTTCTGGAACTGCCTTTTGGGAACTTATTAACCTCTTTGTTCACTGACAAATAAAGACATGGTTAGCTATGTTAGTCTGAAGTCAAGTAGAAGGCAGGGTAGATTTGTACCTTATAGAGTAACCCAGTGCCATAGCAAGGGTTGGGGGGTGAGCAGGGCGACTGCCCCAGGTGCCAAAGCAAAGGGGTGCCAACAGGCACTGCCCAGCTGGGGTGCGGCACAGGACAGAGCTGCAAGTGGCTTGCCGGGGTGGTGGGGGGGTGTTGCACGCACAGGGAATGGGGGAAGGGCAGTGCCCGCCACTGCATGCAGTCTCGGGCAAGCATGGGGGGGGTCGTGTACCTCACGAATTTGTGTGTGGGACAGGGGCGGGCTGCCACAGTGGGCTTTGCCCTGGGCAGAAAACTTTGTTGCTATGGCACTGGATTAACCAAACTGGGGGGTGTATGTGCGTGCCTTGTTCCATATATAGCATAAGCTTTTGTGGGCTGAAGCTCACTTCATCAGGTACTGTGAAAGGATTTGCACAGAGCTGTGCATAGGAGAGAAATTTGAATACAAAAGCAGAAGCGGGCAATACTGGGAGAGAGAAACATGCAGGCAATAAACCCATAGGAGCAAAGGAGTTACAAAAACTAAAATTAAACCATATTTGCCACAGTCCAGTCTGTGGATGATTTGTTTCACAATTGCCCATTCAAATCGGCTTTTAAAGGTTTGCTGCTTGAGAATAGCTACCCTCAGGTCAGTCTCCAGACAATGAAAAATCTCCTTGCTTTAGACTGAGTCCCACCACTGGCATGGAAAACATTTACCATGCTGGTGCAGTAGAACCTGGATCATTCCTGTTTAAGTGACTTGTAACCCACTTCATTCACAACGGATTGAAGAGTGAAGGCTCCTCTGTTTGCTGTGGCTTTTACTTCAAAGAGTGCTGTTTCTCCACTCAGCTGGAGCACATCACTGTCTTGTGCAGCTGATTGGAGAAGCAGCACCCTTTATAGTAAAAGCTTTCAGAATCAGCTGGAGCAAGCACAGTTTAGGAACCCTATTCCCCGAAAGCTGGGGCATTTTTTGCCAGAGAAAGAATCTCTTCACAAGGCTCAACAGCCCAACTCTTTACTTGCCATTTCCAAACTGGTTTGCAATGAACTGGTGGCAGTCTGGAGTAGCCAGCTTCCAGAAACTGGTTTTGATTCTGTCGATTGGTGTCCTAACAGGTGATGGGTGGGACAAGCTTCTTGACGCAGCTCTAAGAAATTCTTCCCTCGCGCATACGTTTTTGAACCACTGCTGAATCTCCCACATCTGGATGGCTGTGATCCCAGCAAACCTTGCCATTTTTTTTATAATGCCAAAGGCACTGGTTTTGCAACAGTGAATCTGCAACAGTGGCTACATTCAGTATGTGTCCAGTCTTCCACATTGTCACTCCTGCATTTCAAAAAGAAAAAAAACTTTCCAGAATGCCATCCAACCTCTTGATGAATGAACCTCTCGTCCACTACATAAACAATTTAGCTGCAGACAGGAACAGCTTATTCAACATATCTGTAACCTGTCCACGGAAGTTTGGAGCATACAGAGTAAAAAAAGCTAGATGTAAGGGTAAGTTAAAATCTCTTCTGCACAGAGGTCCAGGAAAGATAGACAAATAGTTCCATAGTCTGCCACAAACCAGTTCCTAGAGTAGCTGAGAGTAAGAAACTAATACTGACATTTGCCTGGTACTAATCCTGCTACCGAAAGGATAGCTGCCCCCTTGGCAGGTAGGATATGAGTGTATAGGATGTGTCCAGCCCTGTAATGTGAACTTTTAGAGGAAGGTTCAATTAACTTATGCCTGCATGTACATGAGCTAGGATGGATATAAATAACCTTCCAAAATGTTAGAAGGAACATGGGACCAGAAAAAACATCTTGAGTTACTGAGGTCAGTCTTCTACTGTGGACAGC